AAGCCTTAAGTTGATGAGAAACAAGCACCAGAACTGAATATCTGAGTTACGAGGTCGTTGGCCGTGAATTCGTGCTGTTAAAAGTTCAAACTCCAGGTGTTGACGGCTCACAACAACGCACTATTCTCGCGTGACAGTTGACTTCTTCCATGCCCCTCAGACGTGAGCAAACGTAATGTAAGAGACACTAACACATATATGGAGGTTTAGAGATACGAGACAGCTGTATCCTGCTTGATCAATATGAAAGGCGGACCGTAAACGTGTTGGGGTCTGCTGTTGATTAGCAACTGGCTTTAAACTGGTGCAGTTCAAGGCATTGTCGACAGGATCTGAAAGGGCGCAATGAAATAGCCTGGGTACCATCCGGATTTTCGCTCTGCAACGCTCGAAAAATCTTTTGAGCGTTGTGGAGCGAAATCCGGATGGTACCCAGGCTAGCAATGAGACTGGTTGCCCACCAAGTCGACTGCGCTACGGGTGCTTCTGTGTCTAAAATCAAATGATGCCAGTCAGACCTTCACATCTTCCAGTAAATATATAGCATTCCGTCGGTATGCGTACGCACTAAAAATTCAACCAAATGGCAACGACTAAACTACGTGTTTGATACTTTCTGCCAGATTCCGGCACCGCGTGGACAGTGTGAAACCTAGAGAGGACTTCGCAGAAACCGGACAGTGGGACATCACCTACACTAATGAGGTAAGGGCTTACATGATCCGACATCTTTTTTTTTCATATCACAAAAGGGGCATATATGGAAAAAACTGATTTATATTTCATTAATTTGTTAGGGCCGATTGTCTATTACAGGTTTAAAACTTTAGACATTATGCTACATTAAATCCACACTCTCCTCTTTCAGGAGAAGAATGAGATCAAGACTGAAGTGTACGATGCAGTGATGGTGTGTACAGGCCACCATGTGTACCCACATTACCCCAGAGACAGCTTCCCAGGGATTGACGACTTCCAGGGGAAGACTACCCATAGGTATAGCAATGTAGTTTGTTCGATCATCAAAATAACATTCAAGCTCCTAACTGCATTTCTGAAATTAACCAATCGGACTCGTCCTAATCCTTATGCTAACGGTGCATCTTGCGTCTTCCATCAGCCACGACTACAAGGACTTCAGGGGCTACGAGAACAAGCGAGTAATCGTCATCGGGATCGGCAACTCCGGCGGTGACGTCGCCGTGGAGCTCAGCCGACACACCAAGCAGGTATCTTAGTTTGGTTTTGATACCTAATAATGTATTGGGGTAATGCATAATGTAATAAATGTTTTAAGGATTTTACCAGCAGATTTTAGTAAGATTTTTTTACTCTTAACAAACTGGAACAAAGATACACAAAAGCACGAAAGCAACAGTCACATTCAATAGTAGAGAGGCTGGGGATTTCATATTCATTCATTTCCCTACCCAGCTTTTCCTCAGCACCAGAAGGGGCAGCTGGGTGGCGAACCGGGTCTCGTCTCGAGGCCTTCCCATCGACATCTGGGCCACTCGCCGCTGGGCCGACGCTCTGCCGATGTGGTACAAGGAGAGGTTCGCACGTAAGGTCCTCACCCAGCGCTTTGACCACTCCGTGTACGGCCTTACGCCGAGGCACGCGGTCTTTGCCCAGCACGTCATGATCAACGACGACCTGCCCAACCGCCTGATCACAGGCTCCATCATCGTCAAGCCCAACATCAAGCGCTTCACCAAGACCGGCGTCGTCTTCGAGGACGACACGGTCGAGGATGACATCGACGCCGTCGTCTTTTGCACGGGGTATCGCTTCGACTTCGCCTTCGTCGACGACTCAGTGATAAAGGTTGATAACAACGACGTCACCCTCTACAAGTACGTCTTCCCTCCCAAGCTGAACCCTCCCACACTCTGCATCATCGGTCTGACCCAGCCTCTGGGCGCCATCATGCCGATCTCAGAGATCTCCTGCCGCTGGGCCACCAGGGTCTTCAAGGGGACCACCAAGCTCCCACTTCAAGACGTGATGCTTGAAGACATCAAGAAGAAGAAGGCGGAACTGTCCCAGCTGTTCTACGCGTCTCCGCGGCACACCGTCGAAGTGAACTACATCACGGCGATGGACGAAGTGGCTGATGAAATCGGAGTCAAGCCAACCTTCGCTCGTCTCTTCTTCTCCGACCCCCGTTTGGCCCTACAGTGCTACTTCGGGCCGTGCACGCCGTACCAGTACCGCCTGGTGGGACCTGGGGCTTGGAAGGGCGCCAAGGAGGCGATCCAGACGCAGATGTACCGGGTCAAGTACCCAACCAAGACACGCGCCGACTCCTGACGACGACAAAGCAGGAATCCCGGGAATTCTCAAGGTTCTCGTGGTGCTGGTGGTGATCCTGGCCCTCATCTGGAACCTGCTGTGAATCGCCTCGTGTTTTGGACTAGGCAGAAACAAGTCGATGAACATTGCGCAATGGTGGCATGCGTGATGGAAAAATCAAACTGCTTCCCGATCCAGTACAAACATTGACTCACCTAATTTTCTACCTAATTTTCACCTTATCGCTAGTCGTCTTTCATATAATTGTCCTGGTTGCCTGCTTACCTAATGGAGTTATATGTCTTTGCGCATACAGCTCACTCACTCATTCACTCATTCACTCATTCACTCACTCACTCACTCACTCACTCACTCATTCACTCACTCACTCACTCACTCACTCACTCACTCACTCACTCACTCACTCACTCACTCACTCACTCACTCACTCAGGTCCGCTTGCTTCAAGGAGCGTAGCGCCCCGGCACACAGTCTGTTCTGCGCTGCTTCCCAGGCTATGGTTAAGTTGTGTTGCATACAATGATTATCAAACTTTATTCAGATAAACAAAAACATACAAAACAAAAAAAAAACACTTAAACAAGAACATACAGGTATACATACACTGACAGATAAATACTACTGGTAGGATTAGGATATTCAAATACCTTCCAACTAGAAACATTTAAAATTGCTTAAGCGATTTGTTCTATAAGACAACAATAAAACATTATTCCAAAAAGCCATGTCTTGGCTGATGTAATGTAGTAGAAGTGCTTCTGGATGTGGTTGTGGTGCTAGCTCAAATTACTTTATATCCACATACATCTAAATAACCAAGTATGTTATAAATTGTATAAGTTTTAGTATACAAGTATTATTGACCAATTTACAAGTGTGTATTTTAACCAATCTACAGTGTATCGTGTATTTTAATCATTATGTGGCACAATTTGTATAATGTTTTGCAAAAGCTGTGCAATTTAGCCCTAAACATGCTTGTAACAAATAAACCAGTCTACCGGTCTACTGCTATACCTTCAGTGAAACCGATGGAAAATGACAATGTTGTTTTTAGTCATATTATCTTAATAAAGCGCTTCTTGCGTCCAATGTACAGACTTGCAAATTTGGAGCTCAGTCAAAAGAAAATATCTGTAATTCAGAGATGATTTAAGGAGGTATGAAGGGCGCCAAGAAGGTATTGTAGGGAGAAATGAAAACACACACCTTCGCTAGCGAGTCCACCATCTTGAAATTTGCCGGGGAGGTCACGTGATCATGACGCAAGCCACCAAATTAGTGAGGACCAGTGAGGACCGTATGTATTCCGTAATGGATCGTATGTTTCCCGTAATGGATCGTATGTATTTCGTAAAATTCGTATGTTTCCAAGTAATGGATCGTATGTATTCCGTAAGATTCGTATGAATTCCATAAAATTCGGATGATTCTTTGACACCCCTGCCCTGAACGTTTGCAGCCAGGTAGCCACACGGTAGAAAAACATAACTTGGTTGACATTTCATCCCCTGGATGTCACCCTTTTACACAGACATGCGTTCTTGACCATAAAAATAATAAGCGTATTAAAGGAAGACTATTGCGCTTATACTGGGCATTAACCAATCAAAACAGACGTAATGAATGTTTTGCGGTTTGATTCTGGAGGGTAGACCTGACGTCATGAAACCTGGCCACGCCCCTTATCTCTGATTGGTCAGAACACTTCCCTAAAAAGCCTCCATATAGAATCTTGTGGATTTAAACACTCCTGTTGCACAAATGACTGTGAAATCAGGTATCTGTTACATGGCGAGAGAGATAACACTCCGGAGTCCGGAGGGATACGTGGGACCAGTAGACACCACAAAAGTCAGACCGCAAGTCTAAGAATCCTTACCTCTCCTTAGACCTTAGTTCCTCCTGTGCCTGATGACACATTGGGCAGCAAGCTTCCACTTCCTTTTGTCTGCAGCTACTAGTGAACATGACCTTTCTGTGACCATCACCTTGTTCCTCTTCCTTGTTATTTGGAAGTTCTAATCCCACTACAACATCTATACACATTGTCAGATTCCCCAGTTTACAATTGTGATTGTGTAGAATATCAGAATATTACCAAATGCACCTTGGTGATGACCTTAGGTGATATAGCAACTATGAGCTTGACAACCCTTATTCACTACAATGTCATTGGATATCCGTATCGGTCATGCAGAAACACATGCATGCCCTGCGGCGTAGCATTTTTGCTACTCTATTGTAGGTCCTCTGCAAAAGGTGAACACAAGGAAAAGTTGGTAGCCTCCTTCGCAGACTTCTGATGCGGTATGCGCGGAAACCGTCTCTCCCCGGCAAAGTCCCTCGGCGGCAAAACCGTCGCTCCCTGAAAAAAATAACGCCACCGCATCAGAAGTCTGTGAAGGAGGCTAGAAACTTGGTAAGTGTATATCGGGCCAAGGCGCCAGATCACATTTCTGACACTGAATTGTAAATATGGCAAAAATAGCCCATCGCGTGTGGGCCATGGTTTGGGCGTGCGTGGCCCTGTGCCCATGTCAACGTGTGTATACATGGAGCTAAGCTGTCACGGGGTTATGGCAACATTTAGCCAATCACTGAATTAGGCTACTGGGGGTCACTCACGTTGAACAATAGTTTAACCAAGGACGTTTTACAAACGTTTGGTCGATCCTACAGTTTGTTCAGCTAACAGCGGAGCTTGGAACGTCAGCATGAGAAAATTTGGTGTCCTCTCTTTGCTCTGTCTGGCTTCTCTGACTGGGTATCACCTTGCTACGTGTCTGAAGATCGGAAGTTTTAACATACGGACTTTCGGAAGGTCCAAGATGTCCAAGCCAGACGTAGTCAACATTTTGCTCCAGGTAAGCTGCTGATGTTTATGTGACAGTTTTAGGACAGGTCACAACTGCAAACTGAGGGTACTATTGGGACATAGTTGTGTATATGTCCCGCAAAATTTAGCTGTCTTGTTACTAAAAAGACTGCCTTAGATCCTTGTGGGTGGTTGGTTAGGTAGCAGCTTGGTTGAAACTTCTAAGGCATCAAAATCGGGGCACGATCTACGACGAAAGAAAGGCATATTATCTCGCTATATTTAAAGTTTAACAAATTCTTGCTCTTGAAATGTCTAGATTTTTAAAGCGTTTGACTTTTCCTTTGTGAATGTGAAGTGGGCGTAACAAAGCGTTAGGCTCTGTTGCATCTCAAAGAAGAGAAATTGTTCTACCTGCACCTCAAATAGAACGGATTGCTTACGTGTAAATAAAACGGTTGAAGTTTCCTAGGCCACATTGCTCCTTGTGTTTGTTTAAAGTCATACATATTTGTTAAGAAAATGTTTGGTCACAGATATATTTGGGGCGGTTTAGGTACTGTGTGTTCCGGATAGTTGTCAGACACGCTCCGATACCCGTGAATTGACGCTCGACAGTTTGTGACGAAGCGTATTTGCAGTGTAAACAGGCGACTGGTACCACAAGGGGGCGTATTGGGCTCACGACATCTTATAGAGCAGTGCAAAAATTACATTAAGATTATTTCCAACAGTATCTACAGGTTTATTGACAATGACATTAACTTATACGGGGGAAATTCCCCTTAGCTTTTCGACAGTCGACAAGTACAATGAACAGTGGACCAGATATGGACTTCCCGTCCTAAAGATAGCGAAACAGTTTTACCAGCATTTTTAGTGTGTTTATGGTTTTAGATTATGATATGATACATGTATTGAAGCATTAATGCCATCCGCCTGTTTCGCGCCTCCAGACCGTTGAGAGATATGACCTGTTTCTGGTGATGGAGATCAGAGACTCTACCCAGACCGCCATATATGACTTCCTGGATCAACTCAACGAGTCAGTACTCAGATATTTTCTATTTGAACTGCAGCTTTGAATGAGTATGTAACAAACGTAACAGTCGAGCTTACTCAGGCATAGAACTAGATAAAAGCATAATTCTGGTTAAGATAGCTTCATAAAACATTCTCCTTTTCCCACCCAGTCGCACAGAAAACCCCTACTCCCTGATTCTAAGTGACCGTCTGGGCAGAACAAGTTATAAGGAGCAGTATGCGTTCTTCTACAAGTAAGTCCTTATTGTAAGTCATCTTATGAGATAGCACAACCGCTATACTACAAAATAAACATATTCAAATACAGATTCCGTTGGTAATTGAGGGAAAGTAGTGGATGTCTGACAGTTTTCAAAATCCATCCAGTTGCTTGAGTAACTGCTTTCTTGTGTATATAATGCATTTTTAAAATGTGGTCTGCATTCTTCTTCATCTTCAGAGCGTGCTATGATAATTAATATTTTCCTTATATGACATATACGATATGAAGGGAATCAGCTGGCCTGTCGGTGTCAGGCGCTTATCACTATGACGATGGGGACGAGAGCTCTGGGAACGACACTTTTGCGCGGGAACCGTACGTCGTCTGGTTCAACTCGTCCCGAACAGGTGGGAATTATGGGATATCGTTTCCGCTTCAATAACTGGAGACTAAAGCTCCGTCGACAATTTTTGTCTGTTTTACGTTTATGTCCTCTTCAGACTTGATTATTTATCACATTCATTTAGTTGAGATAGGAATTTCAATTCGTAACCCGTGCATAACTGGAAAACTGGTGATAACTCTTTTCAGTGCAAATGTATTTCGTTTTTTACTATAACAAAATAATTTCACTACATAGACAATTCATTTTTAAGTGAATTAATGAGATAGAGGGTCGCTATCTCATCAATTCACTAGATAGAGAACAAATTTGTGGCAAACTATCTGGCATCGTCTGCTAATTATATTTCAGATCTCATCTTGTTGTTTGGTTTATTTTGTCAATGTATAATGTATTTTTCACCTGAGCGTCTAAACTTTCTCGACGTGTCAGATATAGTTATCTCAGCAAAACTAGTGAAAACTTTCAAAACTTTTTGGGAGGTATATTATATCTCAAAAGTTTTTACACCCCTCGGTCTTTCCTTCTTTCTCTCTCAGTCGTTCAGGAGTTTGTCCTGATTCCGGTCCACACGACCCCGGACCAGGCAGTCCAGGAGACAGACCTCCTGTATGACGTCTACCTGGACGCCGTTGCTAGGTGGGGCGTCGATGACGTCATGGTCCTTGGCGACCTGAACATCGACTGTAGCTACGTCACTTCCGGCGAGTGGGACCAGATCCGGCTGTGGACGGACCCGAGGTTCAGCTGGCTGATCGGAAATGACGCAGACACAACGGTCAGCTCCACGGACTGCGCTTACGACAGGTTAGCACAGCATAGGATAGCAAAGCTAGTGTACAGTGAACCAGTAACATCTAGCTTCAGTGAACAATGAACCAGATAACACCTAGCTCCAGTGGCAGTTACATGTATATTATCCCTGATGAAGATTACAGACGGTCATCGAAACGTCGGCTCGTGTAATTAGCAGAGGGTAGTTTGGTTTAGTTATTGTGAACTTTTGACAACGTATGATTTTATCTTTAACGTTACATAACATGCTGGAACTCCCATCAGAATCACAAGGAAAAAGCTGACAAGTGTTGGTATAAACCTATGACCATAAAAAAATGGAAACGCCTTGCATAAATCAAATAGGTTATGTCCTTATAACGTTCTTGCGTTAACAACGTACGTAGTATTTGGTTCTCAGCCATGTTTTGTCATTTTTTCACCTATCGAATAGTAGATGAATAGATTCTTACCTGCTTACTGAGAAAGCTGAGAGCCACCCAGCTGTGTGTTTTTATAGTTGTCCAGCTGTAGTACACGACGTTTGTTTGCCTTTTTCAGGTTTGTTGTTGCTGGGGAAGATTTCCTGAACGGAACCGACGTGAGCTCGGCTTCTGTCTTCAACTACAAGGACGCATTTAACATCACCCAGGACCTGGTAAGATCACATTATTTGTTATCAATACGAGAACAAGAAAACATACATGGAACATCAGGAAAAACACTCATTCTCCGTGCAAAAAGCAGCAATTTGACCAAAATGATGCCTTACATATGCAAAGCAACAAAGGCCTTTACTTCTCAGTCCAAATACCATATGACTGAAGGCTACCTCAAAACCAATTCCCTAATAGGAACGCATTCGTGCAAAATTTTGAAATTCTTTCACAGCGATCGTAGTACTGGAACAAATGCCTCCGCACCTGAGGCGTTGCCAAAAAAGGACTATGAGATTGACAAGGAAAGGCCTTTGGACAACTGTTTGTGTGTAACTACATATACAGGTACACAGCGCCAGCGCTACAATATCCAACCAACTGTAGTTAATTAGTTTAGCATTTCACGAGTTTGACAACGGCTGGTGACGACCTGCACCTAAAATATCTGTCTATGTAGGCATATGACGTGAGTGATCACTGGCCGATAGAACTGGATCTGTACGAGTTAGAAGTCGAGACAACAAGTGTACCCCTACCGACGACCGACGGAAGGACATCGACTCAAATCCCGGACCTGCCAACAACGCCCCTGTCGTCATCCGGGGGAACTGCACACGTGCAGGGATCCACTGAGACGACAGCAACAGAAAACCACCCGACGACACCCGGACAGTCGACCGAGGGAAATGCAGTAGTGCAAGACTACATTGCCGCCTCACTGAGCACAGAACTCTGGTCTGGTCTTCTGGCAGTTTCGGTGGTTGTATCATTCCTTATGGGAATGCTAGTTTCCAAAGCAGTGACCATGTACAAAAAATCCACAGGCCAAGTAAGGTCACACGTAGTATGACATTTTCAACAAAAGTACCTGATACTTTGGGTAAAAACACACAATGAAGAACGTTTTCCATGAACAACACATATTGCACTAGTTAGGCCGCACTGCCTTAATTTTATTGATGACATCCTGCTGAAGACCTCCAAACTAGTGCGCGCGGTCGAAGAAAATAATTCCGGCCAAAAATAAAAAAGCTACATGTACTAAACCACAGGAATACAAAGCTGGTATTGTGAATTTGCGGCAGTACTTACATGTAGCGACGTATACGACAATATATGTATATCAACGACCTTAAGGAGACCCAGAAAGTTCAGCGCAAGTGCGACAATATGAAAGCTTAGCATTCGAGTTTTCTGCATTTTACATGTATATGCATATTTGCCTTTGTCCTAGTCTGTGTTACACAAGCTCTTGCAAAACCTTAACAGTTCTGTCTCTGGGTTGACATCTTGAAAAGGTGACAGTCAATGCTTCCACAAATGTGGTAAATCTCTATGAATGAATAAACAACCACGAATCAACATGATTCACACATTGTATGTTCTTGAGCAAAGCAGTTCTGGTATTCTTTTTCTAACATCTAGTTTCCATCTTTTGTACATAGCATTTTTTAGTGCAAAACAAAAGAACTACAATGACAACATATCCTGATATCTTTTATCATACAAGACAACATAGCACTAAATAAACAATGGGTGATGTTCTGCACTTGGAATTAAAAAGATTTAAAAAAAAACAATGAACAAAACCAGCTCTCTAGGCGACACAGAAATTGAAAGAAGACATTTGGGTATAAACATTTAAATCTTATCATTACATTTATGACATTAACCTAATATAATAAAACTGGGCAGTGATAAGAGTTATAGTTTATAGTGATTAATCTTCAAACTTACCTTTCACACTTGTAATTTTTCTTTACAATGATAACTCTCCATCTTTTCAGAATGACATTTGAATATATTATCATTGAGTTTGTCACATATCACAGTTACCAGACTGAGTATTTATTACAATTTTGGGAAGGCTTGGCAAAGTCATTTCTTCAGTACATTGAATTTTGGGTCGTGGAAAAGGCTATGGGTCTTGGTCCACAAGTAATGCAACATTATGTATACACACTAGGCACTGGAGCTGTGTACCTAATCAAAGTATAGCTGAAGGTACTAGGCCTAGACATGGATCTAAACAAGTTTGGCCAATCATGTTTTAGTTATACAGGAAGCCAACTCTCTTGGTAAATAATTCTCTTTGTATGGGTTTACAAATCTTAAGCTAAATACATGCATATTTACAGGTTTTCCTTATTTCCAAGTGCTAAATTGTCCAAAAAAACTTTGAGATACAATTTATCTATCTCTAGTGTAAAAAGCATTTTATTTTGTTCAGGTACATTTGTACATGTACACCAGATGTTCAGGTCCAGGAATGTACATGTATTTGCCAGGGGGAAGTGTGATAAAATGTAATATGACATTAGGTACACAGCCCTACATGTACTAGGCACACTTAGCATATTACAAAAATACAACTTTTTTTTCCATGTGTGTCAGTCTACTGTACAGTATATCATCCAATCACAATACTGGATTTGGTCCCACTGCATGTTAACAACAGTTTATTTTCCTACTGCACAAACTATCAACTATGTAGAAATGAATACGGCATGTTATATACAATTCAGGCAGACACACAGTACATTCTTCCTTAGATGTCTACATACATATCTACAAACACATTTTCACAATGATAGTTACAATTTACATCATACATTTTACACTGATTCTATTGATCCTTTTACAACACAAAAATAAGATCTCTGTACTTCTCTGGTTATTTGTCTGTGCCTACTATATAGGGAATTAGGGCACTGTACATTAAAATATTAATGCAACACTGATTTATATATTACATCTCAGGGGTTTTTCTAGAAAAATTTAGCATGAGGGAGCAGATCGCAAGCATTGCAAGGAACGAAGTGACCAAGGGGGACTTTTAATAAGAGTAACACAGTTTATAATGCTAGAATAGTGTTGTATTGCTTTTACATCTTTACTGAAAAAAGATCATTAATTTTTGAGAAAGACTAAATAGTGTTAAGTAGCCACTTTGGGTTCAATCTGAAAATTGATATGAAGGAGCTGGCTGGTTACATGAGGGAGCAGCTCCCTTATTCCCCTGTTTAGAAAAACCCCTGCATCTGATTAAGTTTTACATCAATGGTGTCAATCAGTTGTAGTCATATACGTATATCTTTTTTCATCAGTCATCAGTTGCAAAAATGTAGGTTGGAGACAAAGTGTGATGTCATTAGAACAACAATGTCTTAACCAATCGGAAAGCTGTGGTGGGAAACATGTAAACAAAAAATAAAAAGTAAATTTTCTGGTGTTTCATATGCATCAAATGCTTCAGTAACAGCACTAATAAGAAATAACTAATAAACAATGTAGTGTTATGCTCCATATATTTGAGAAGAAGGTACATGTACACAAAAGGGATGTTCCAAGTAAGGTGGTTGTCTGTGAATTGTAAATTTTGTCTCCCACCAGAGTTACTACATGATGGAACAGATGCGGCTCTGTTTGCGCTCCACGTTGATCTGCATGGCACGTCTTCTATTGGCTGGGAGTTAAAAAGGAAAAAAAATTGTGCATTAGTCAAAGACACTTCAGTCTGCAAAAATTCTTCTACATATAAGTGTTGACTAGTTCTGCCAGTTCATTCTAGTGAGGCTCTCCAAGCAGAGGTTTGGGCTTTGGCTTATTTTGCCATGTTCTTAGGCATTTTCATTAGGTTCTCTTTTTGTACAGGTATCTTTTTCATGTCAGCCCAATGGCTAATGCCAACAGAGATCAAGAAACAAGTCTTTTAAGGGGTTTATGCTTTTAAGACTGTAATATTTTCTTACCTTCGATGTACACTTCCCGATCAAATTGTCCGGCAGCCAAAGGGATACTGGAATGCAAAATGGTCCCAGTTAGAACTAAAATTCCTTTAGAAAACAGTACAGATGTTTTACACCAATTTCTGTCAATCACATTGGACCCATACCTGCCACTCAGCCACCATTACTAATGTTTTCACCATTTTGAGGAATGAAAATAACGTAGGCTGCTGATGCAAATGTCTTTGGGTGTTATATCCTATCAATAACAAGCAAATCTACATGCAGTAAATGACTATGTAATAGGATAATGGGAAATTTGGTGAACCTTTTAGGCTGACATTCATACATGTAACTTTTTTGTGTAATACCCAGATTTTCATACTAATATTAGCAAACTACTTAATATATTTGATAACAGCATCCAGGGTAAATGTCAAATGTAATTTTTTTTAAAAATATATCTTGGCAATTTCTATGGCCTAAAAGTACTTAAATCTGAAACTTTCTGGCATTTTCTTGTGATAACTTCTCACTCTTAACTAATGTATTATTGCATACTTTGAAGTTTCATGCATTTTTATTCTTTTTTCAGGAAAGAAAATCCCTCCTTCTGACCTTTAAATCACAGCCTTCCAATGGACTTGTCTAAATACCAACAATTCAGCACCAAGGACAGTGCCTATCCAACACAATTTTATAGATTTCATATAACATTATGTTTAGCCACAAACATGAAAAAGAAATCCTCCCAGTCTCAAACTAAACACAAGTTGAACATTTTTATTGTGTTTGATGCTGTTTTGCACAAACCTATAAGAAAGGGTCTACATGCAAATGCATTTTCTGGTGTGGCCTAATAGACAATTTTTGTCATAAATATGTCTAGTTAAAACATGACACAAGACAGCATTGCATTGTTACCATTCTGACTGTTTTATCTGAGAAAACAGATCTCTGTAATACTTACGTGTCCCTCCCAGGCCTGATCTTGACCTCAAACACAGAGTAAACAGGCCGGTGGTCTGAGATCTTGATACTTGGCACGTTACTGTAATGCATGGGAGTGATGTCTCCTGCCTTCTTACACTTGTACAACACTCGATCCTGCAGGGGGAGGGGGGCAAGAAACATTTTTCTTTAGACTCCAAATTGTTTGTTATTTCTTTTGCTATTTTTTTTCACACTGGACTGGTTTGAACAACTCAACAAGTTTTCCTTTTTTCATCTCATGACTCAGTTTTCTTCTGCTCAAATACTAGTGGTCACTTGTTAGCATAAAAAAATACTGAAGCAACAAAAACTGTCCAAACTACTGCAAATTCAATTACTCTCCCAGTGGGTTAATTTTGCAGTTGGTGGAGGGAAAAAGGGGTTTTCGAAGTGAAAACAATGCTGTAGTACAACAGTTATACAACTGCAATACAATGCAATTCAACTGGGTGAGCTCATGATTTCACAGTCACATTTAAAGATGTCCAGTCTACTTACCGTATAGGAAGGCACCCTGAGCTTGGGTGAGGTGTCATAATGGTCCGTGTTCAGGTCAAACTTGTAGGTGGGTGGAAACCGGATCTGGCTCTCCTTGAAACCAACAAAGGCCTCATCTTCAAATTCAACAGGGAGAGAGAAAAGACAAAGACAACTGTTAAAAAAAAGTATACTGTATGACGTTCATGAAATAGAATCTTACATAAATGTAGATAGCATTCAATTAAAATCACTCCCAGAACTAGAAGAAGCTTTCTTTCTCTTTCTGTTTATCTAGTTAGTAAACCCTGAGTTTTCAAGCAGAGAAGGCTTTGGTCTACACTGCGTAGCATGCACTTATAATGACTATGTTATCTACTAATTAATTGTTTTGCATCTAGTAATTCTGCAGCTAGCCTAGTCTTTGTCATGATGGTGTTGCTGAATCTAGCCTACTCTACATGTAGCTAAGCTAACAAAGTACTTCCTGTTTTGATTTGCACTTGACACAGGCAACTAGCTCACTGACTTCACCAAGAAAAGCACCAGAAAGCCACCACACACAATTGGCCAGCCTCCACTTCATGACAAGCTATGACTGGCTAAGCACTTTGTTAGTTGACCAATCAGAGAGCATTAAAATGAAACATCTCTTTGAGAACATGGATCATTGCATATTCATGCAACAGTAAGTTTGTTATGTAAGTTAGTAACATGTAGTGACAGGTAAAAATATTATTGAAATTACTGCAGGTAAGGTTAGTTGTGTAATATATAATATCATTAATGATAAGAAGGGTTAAATTTACTGAAGACATTAATTGCCAGTGTAAATTATTTAAAAGGTTAATGACATGAAACAAGAAACATCAGAGCTAGAAGACAATATATTTTCCGGTATGTGTTAGAGTGGTGTAGGATATATGACTGAATGAATTTGACATAGTTTGGTAACGTAACTTTAGATTATAGGACAAGTTTGGAAATGTTAGTGGGACAACAGTAAATTGTTATCCTTAGTTAGTTTCAGTACAGATATACATGTATTATGAATACGACAAACTTTTTTGTGACAATTGACAGATTTTACTGCTGTTAATTGTAACTTTGCTGCACCAGTCATAGCTCTTGTCACTTAAGTGTTGGCTAGCACCACAGTAAAAACCACATAGTACCCTTCTTCATGAAATTAGTGAGCTGGTCGTGTGCCACCAGCTCCTTGTAGTCCGACTTGTGCCCGTGTTTGATCAGCTCCTCAACCTTTGACCTCTCGTGGTCCAGCCGGAAGTTCATGTCGCCAAACCAGAAGACACAGTCGAACCGCGAGGTGCAGTCATCTGGAAATAGAGTGGAATTAGTCAGGAATTGTAATGTAATAAGTCAGGAATCACAATAGAATTAGTCAGGAAATGAAAATGGAACTGTGTCTGTATTGTCGAGAAAACTGCCTTATGTTAGATCCAAAATATGCACAATGATAGTAAAACATATATCAGGGCTCGAAATTCATTTTTTGGGAATACATGTATGTGCACTGGTGCACCCAACTGAAAAATTAGGTGCACAAAAGATATTTTGGTGCACTGGTACACCCGCAGAAAAAAGTTAGGTGGCACTGCACAGCTCCAAGGTGCACATGCACCCAGTATTTCGAGCCCTGCATATACATTGCCAACCAATTTTTAGCACATTGCAAACCAAACTCATAAATGTATTTAATATGTAAATTGTATTCACTTATGAACTGAACTTTCAGGTATCATAGAAACTTCAAAGAAAAGTTATTCCCCCATCTGAAAACATGTCATATTCTGCAGCCAACTTTGTTTGTCCCTCTCTAGACCCCTATCTAACCTGTGGGGGCGACTGCTACTCTTTTGTCAGACTTTTTCTGCTTGGTTTTTGGTGTCCATTTCCGCATCTTTTTATCCTCCTCACTACCTGACAGGAATCATAATCATAAACCTGTTATGGTCTGTTGATATTCTGTATGATTCAATACCGTAGTCATTTCTATTCTTCAATATAAGCTTGTCCATACAGAAGCAAACCAAGTGAGTAATTAGGTCCAACGATGACAAAATATTGACTGATTGAATGATCTTAATAACTTTATAGTACACAGCCAAGTATCTTGATTGAAAGGTGTTCGTTTAGGAATAACTTGTGAAGTTTGAGACTGTCCCTGCATGCCTTACTTGGGTCGGTGCTGTGTTGATTGACAGGAATGATCTTGGGTAGGGAGATGGCCTCACAGATTTTACTGTAGTCTGCTATCCGCTCCTTTGCCTTGTTGTCTCCAGCTAAAACAATGCAGCAAAATGATCACACTTAATACAACCTTTGGACTATCATGATTATTTCATAAAAAAAACATCAAGGTCTCCATTTATTTTCATACTATTATGGTTCATGGTTTTGTATTGACCCTGACAACCAATGGATAAAATTGAAACAACGTTGTAACAAATGGAATTTTGCATTTTAAAGCCCTCTCTCTTTACATGTATTGCCAACAACACCCATTAACATCAGTACAACAGAGCCATCTAGTGAGTGTCTGACAAACTGCAGTTTGCATTTCCAATGAGAGCCTGACCATAATATACTCTGATGTATGACAAAATACTTACAGGTGAAGTGAGAGTTGATAAAGAGAAAGGTCGTCCCAAAGAAGCTGAAGGAAACGGCAAGCCCACCCTGCAGGAAACATCAAGTTGAAGGTTAAAATGAACATCAACTTAACTACCAGTATACGTAGCTTCATCAAATACAAATCATGATACAATGGCAACACCAATTGAATCTACTGTATGAGAAATACTGTATGTTACAATTACAGTAATTCTTTTTAGAAGGTAATATGAAATTGTACCTGCTTAAAAAGCAGACAGAAACTCACTTAAGTTGCAAAAAAAGGGATGTTTAGAGTTCTACTACTCAATGCTTGGAATAACATACCTTGGTTTTTATCTGGGAGAAGGCTCTTGTACTGACAGTATCTTCTTCTGCAACTGTTATTTAAAAAAAAAACAGACAGTCGTATACTGTGTATTCCTGGTAGTTAGACTCAGTAAGTGTTCTGGCCAGCATCCATCTTTCTGCCATTTGATGGAATTTTGTCACTCATGACGGACAAAAATTTGACTCTATCTTTCTCAAGTATCCCTCCGCTGTTTTCATCTGCCCCCCCTCCCAAATATCTTCCCTCTACACCCACCCTCCCACAACCCACCCCTTCCCTTAACACTTGCGCGGTTATCCCCATCCAGTAACCCCCCTCACCGTCCGGCACTCAAGTTGGTCTGCACGCTTACCTCGTGGTTCTCTCTGTCTTATATAGCTCCACCTGCCCATAAGCTCATTACTATACATCACCTGTCTATTTCACCTGCTTCACCTGTCTTAGGTTAATCTATTTGCGCTCCCTCACATTCCGCTAGGGATTACTTGATTAAGATATTGCCCAATCCAATCATTCAAAAACAACTTAACTACATGAGAAATACCCAAGTTTTGACCCACCTGAACAGAACCAGATGAGGTCTCTCCTGATGAAGACACAGAGGTGGAGAACTCCGTAGGTCCCGGAGTAGAACAGCACATGTGTGGGGCCCAGGGTCTCCTGCATCCGGATCTCCCACTCACGCCTGTAACAAGGGCAGGGATTGGTCCATAGTTTAATCAAATTATAAGAAAAGAACAGGGATTGGCTCAATGTTTAATCAAAATACAACAGACAATGGTGATTGGTGCAATGTTTAATTCACTTGCAACACACAACAGTGATTGGTCCATTGTTCTGTCTAAATAAGCAAAAAAAAAAAAAAACAAGTACTCAAGCAACTGGATATGATTTTGGACACAGTCAGATGTTTCAGGTAGCATCCATTACTTTTCGTCAGTGACAGTTGAGAGTTGTCTGGAAAGCAGGTTTATAATTTGCATCATCCTTGTCTTGATTTGTGTAACTTTTGCTTCATTTTGGACTTTAAAAAAATTTGTCATCACTGACTTGCATATCAATCTATATTTCATGCTTAAACATCTGCTTTTCTGACAACTCTCCAGTATCACTGACAAATGGTAGTGTTTGCTACCTGATCAATGTCTGACCGTTTCCAAAATCCTACCCAGTTTTTTGAGTACCTGTTTTTTGGCGTATCTTATTACCTGGATGCCTAACCTTCACCAACGTATTCTATCTAAGTACAACACACACTGGGATCGGTCCAAAGAACAGCGTTTTGCAGAAGATACCTGCTTGCCATCTTGGCAATGATATATATTTCAATCTTACTTTTGAATGAGTTTCTTAGAAGGTAGGGATTTTATTTTCCAGCAGTCTAAGTGAAGAGGAATTGTACCTCCTGGCAGAAAGAGTTATAGTAACGTCCATAAATGGCTATTATGTACCATCCCGCTCAATTCTACTAGAAGATATCTTCACTTCCAGATGTGAAATTGCTTGTTGCCTCTATAGCCTTGCAAAATTGCCCTTTTTATCTCAGAAGTATTTCACTTCTGCATATACAATCATCCGCCTAGCTTTGTGTTGGTGTTTTGGGTATCAAGGCTAAAAAGCAACCAGTTCCATTAACACGCATACCTTGTGGGCGTGCCCTCCTGAAAGCCCATTATATACATGTCCTGGACATATTCACAGCACTCAGGCAGGAGGAAGTCATCGATCTTCTCAGGCAGGTCCTGTACATGTGTGTGGACAGAATGAAAATGTTTACAATTCTATCTGGGCAGCTTTCATATGGATCTAACTGAGGAAGGGTGTGATTTTGCAAGAAGAGGTTGCATCTCAAATATTCAACAGATAAAATGCAGTCAATTTAACCAAACACGTAAATTGAATATTTTTGTCACATTTCATTTTCAAGATGACACCCTGGCAATTACCAAACATTATTGGGTTCGGGCACTTGATATTGTTACTTGTTATTGAATTTCAATGGGATAATCTAATGGGAGACTGACAGCAGGTGTTTGGGACACCTCTATACTTCAATGTAATATATAATTACATCTATGCTTCTATCTGGAATAATTGGATGACTTACATGTGTTTAGTTGAAATGCAATTAGATTCAGTGACTGGATATACATTATAATGCCATACCCAACCATTGTTGACATACTAGTAGTTTAGTCAAAATGCAATTAAATACAGTGACAGGATATACAATATGCTACCTATACATGTACATGTACCTAACCATTGTTGACATACTACATATAGTATGCAACTGTTAAAAAAAATTGCAAGGTGCATCTTGTGACAGTGAGAACCATTTGCCAAAAATGAAGTTCTCTCCATTTTGCTAACTTAGGGCATGGTAAAGACTGCCCAGAGGAAATTATGTATACCTTTTCGCCATGCATGTTCCATGTCCCTACAAAGATGGTCATCCTTCGGTCAGGGAAGTATCTCTCCAGTTCGTCCTGTCCTAGCAGGGCTCCAGAGCTCATGCTGCTGCCTAGCAGATAACTCCTGAGTATGACATAGCAAAATGTACACTATTTGTCATGCCCCATACTCACCAGAACTGCTGGAAATTCAATGTGGTTGTGGTGACCATTTGATTGAAGTAGGACACAAAATAGAGAAATATCTTTTTCTGTTTTAAAGACTAACATATTTTTCAAAAAATCCAAATCAAAACTGAAACATAAAGAGACAAAATACAAAACATTGTCAAACTGGGAGCATTATTGGTTTGTTGTTATAGAGAATTAAGAGATCACACATTCTGCATTCAATTTTGTAAAACACTAGTACTTAAAGACTGAAAAAAAAAACAACTGTTTAAGTAACCTGACAGTATGGAAGGAACTCTTAGACTTGACAGGGTTAGTCACAGCCAAGGCAGATTTGCCTCTCTTCATGCTGAATCTCCTTATTGACATCCCAAAAATTTAAGGAAAACAAAACAATAAAAAAAAACTGGGACTGCTTAAATGGTGCAGTGATGAAATTATCTTCTTTCAAGTGTGAAACAATTCTAGTGCCTTCCTTTATTTACTGGTTTGTTTTCGTTGTTCTAGAACAGGTATATTTGTCAACAGGAACAGTTGTTCTATGACATGAATGACCAGACATTCCAGAATGTCATTTTATAGGCTGGGTGATGTTTTTCAATAAATAGAACAACTTTACCTTTGAATGGTAAGTTTTGCAAACTTGTCAATGATAAAGAGCTAAGACTAAGTATTACCCAGTAAACTGCATTCACAATCCAACTACATGTACATGTATGCGTAATTGGTCATGAAATGTTTTAGTTTCTATTTTGAATTTGAAACAAAATTTAAAACAAATTTTGATTTCAAAGCTAGCAAGCAAAATTGTAAAATATCTTTGAGAAAAATTGCTTAATTGTTATAAATCATAGCAAAATGCAGTGACTACATGCATGGTGGTACCAAATACTAGATTGGTTTTCTTTCTCACCATGATTGTTATGAACATGTACTAGCAGGGTTCTCCCCAGACGATGGAACAGGGGCGCTGCGCCAGGCTACTCCCAGCTCAGCGCCAGTATACTGCTTTCCAAATTTAGGGTGTTGCATCCCGATTTTTCTACAAAATTTCGCTAAAATTCGAGAAAATTTCCTGATTTCGGGGCTTAGTAGCGTCTATTTTCCCGCCGGCATTGTCTCTGAAAACTTGTGAATGGGGCGATAATCGAGTAAACAATGAGTATTTCGCACGACGCTACTGAGAGAATCGCTGTCATTGGTGGAACATCGGGCGCCCCGCTAGCGTTTTGAAGTCGTGTAAAGAAAGCTAATTGTCTGATTTCTTTGTAAACCCATTCCTTTTTTCTACCTCCATGGTAAACCAAAGCCCTCGACCCTGATAATAAGTTTAAAAATAAAAGCCGATACGTTTACGAACTTATAAACCGTAGAAAATTCCCTACCGTACCGCGACATTATGAAGCATGTGGCGGCCGCGAAATTCGTTAACGCGACAGAAAATGTCTGGTTCATGATAGCGGTATTTCCCATGAAAATAACGTATACGATTTATTTTTCCCCTGCTGTCGGTTTTTAAGTCACGAAACGTTAAAAAAAAGCAGAATTTTGCCCACAAACCCGGACGGGGGACGGCCTGTACCTATCGGCGTAGCACATGGCGGCCGCGCCGCAAGGCTTCTGCCAAAAATCGGCAACGCGACAAAAAAATGCATGGTCCATTTTAGCGATATTTACCATAAAAATAACGTATGTGGTTTATTTCTCCCATGGTGTGAGTTTTAAGGTCTCAAAACCTCTAAAAAAAGCAGAAATTTGCCGACGAAAACGGACGGGCAAGGCATGGGGAGGGCACTGTTGACGCCTGCGTGACCCCCAAAAGGTCGAAGGTCATAGGGCACGTCCATTGCGCAATCACCTTAATTCGCCGATTTAGCTAATTTTAGGGCGTTTGAAAATTGATACAATCACATTATCGACTTGTAGACAAGCAAAGGGATAGAAACCAATAAAATATTGTGCAGTATTAATATTTTTTCTTCAGTATTTATTTTTTTTTTTTTAAATTCTAAAAGTATTTTCTTGAATGTGTATTTCTAAACATGGGACCGATTTTTAATGTTAGAGAAGTGAAATTTTGTTTTGATGGTACTTTTGATGGTACTTTGATAATTATAAGGGACTTGTTTACAAGTTGGTGATAACATAAGGATTAGCATTAGGATAAGAAGGTTTTTGTCCCAGCTTCTCTACATTTTCCCATAATTGCTTGCCTCAAGTTCCAAGTGGAAAATGTATGACTTAATGTCATATTCTGTTTCACTTGTCGAACTTGTAGGCACCGTTGGCCCCCGGTTAGGGGTCAGAGCGTGGAACCTATGCCCAATTTTTTCCTGAATGTTAACATTTTTTCTGGCAGTTCAAAACCTGAAGTTGCAGGAAATGGCTTCCATTTGTATTTAGATAAAGAAAAATGCTTCAGCTTCCCCCCTCTGGAGGGGGGGCCATGCCCCCCCTCCAGACCTCCCCCCCACGACGCTAACGCGTCGTCTGGGGTGCTTCACACCCTCCTCCGGGGTACTCTCAAATCCTGGGGAGAACCCTGACTAGTAATAGTAGTATGTAAGTTTTGTAACATATGGGGAATAATCTAAGTTTACAATATGAATGCAGTTCTTACCTGTCTCTTGCAGCCCTAGTCTGTATCATGGGCAGAGCGCTGACAGACTGGAACGACATGACGGACATGTCCGACTCTGTACGGCTCAGCTGGTGCCCGGCGTTCAGACCTGGCATGGAGTTCGACCTCTCCCCGTGGTACAGCGAATACACTGGGAACTCTGTTTTGATCGTCGTTCTCAGCGACTGCGACGACGCATTTCCCTCTATGGGAGGTAGGTTTGGCGCTCCTTTTAGCGGCTCCAATCTGTTCAATCCCGGCTTGTGATTGGTCAGGAATAGGTCGTCTTCTTCCGAAGAGGATTCGCTGGTCACGGAAACTAACGATGAAGTGTCGCTGGTTAGAGAGGACGACTGTCTCTTTAAGGGCGTTGACGTCTTGGGTCCCTTGTCTTCCATTTTCAACTTCGCAGTCAGCTTTGCCTCCAGTTCTGGCACCATGTCAGGTAGGGAACCATCACTGTCGTCACTGTCCTTACCTCTGTTCATTTCTACCTTTTCTGAAACACCACCTGTCCTATCGTTCACATGACTTGTTTTTGGAGAAGAAATGTTACCCTCTGTCTTCTGTTCTTTTGTCTTGGAGTCTCCTTTGTCTGATTTAGGTTTACCAGTCGATATGACAACATCGTCGTCAGAAGATGACCCACTAGGCACCCCACTACCAGTTGAACTACTTCCCCCTATAACCTGTTTAGCGTCTTGGTTACCTTTGTTTTCACTGCCCGCAGGGGTAGTACTTTTCCCAGGTGAATCCTTTTCTTTTGAAGTGTTCCCAGTGGAATTAGATCCCTTTTGTTCTTTATCTTTCCTGTGTTTTTCGTCTTTTTTCGTCTCTACGCCGTCATCTGAACTGTAGTCTGACAGGGCGACAGCGGTTGGTTTAGTTTCCTTGACTTTTGGCTCGATGGGTCCCCTCCACTGGCCTGGACGGGGGGACCTGGTGACTGCTGAATCTGTGGACGACTCACTAGCAGTCTTTTTGGGTAAGTTCAAACCTTGTGACTTATTCTCTACATCTACAGAAGAACTAGACTTCAGACTGTCTGTACTACCGAACCTACGCGTCGTTGGTTTAGGCTTGCTGGGGGGACGGGGAGAGTGCTTACCCTCGAAGTCAGACAAGGAGTTTCTATCTGCTTCGTCACCACTCTGAGCCAACTCCTTAAATCTCCGTCTTGGTTTCGGCTTGGGTTTTGACTCATCAGAATTTTCAGGATCCTTTTCGCCGGTTTCTTTGGACGTGGACTCTTTCGTGTCTGGTTTCACCTCAGACTTTTCTTCTTCTTTCCCCTCGTTTCCTCTCTCAGAGTCAGCCTGTGAGGAATTTCCCAGGCTTTCGCTACTCCCCATGGCATTTTTCTTCATGGCCTTTAGTCTGGCCAGGGTCTTCTTTTTAGGCTGGCGATGCTTCTTCTTGGTGGCTGGGGAGCCCGCGGCCGAGCCCTCCTCACCGGTGCCTAGGCTGTCAGTTTCTGCTCCGATGTCAGACATGTTGCCAGTAACCTGTGTTTTGTAAACAATAACAGAATCAAACTACGCATTATTGTACATCTGTAAGTCAACAACTGTCAGATTAGGTATTTCAGCCATGACTATACTGTATACATTGAGTTCATGAGCACTGGAAATCTAATGTAGACCTTAATATTACATAACTACAGAGTGAATAATTGATGGTCTCCTACTTCTTCAGACTAAAACATGTTTCTTTCACATCTTAAACCTCTTGATCATATGATTATGGACTTACAATCAGCTTCTTATTACCATTAAAAATATCTTATGCAAACATATATTAGTACATATTCAAGTCGTTACATACATGACTAAGTCTAATAAATGATTAGCAATCTCATAACATACAGGTCACGTTTACTCATCCAAAGTCCAAATACACTGAAGCTATATGTACAGTAAGGATGTTTATAATTAATGCCCCTAAAAGCTTTTCAGTGTCTCCTGTCTCCAGAGGTCTTTCCAAGTCACTTGCACAGATTATTTCTAAAAACGGGAATGCAACAAGAGCTCAGGAAAAATCTGGACACGTACAATAGAGAGTGGCTGGTGGTTCAAATGCGACTCACAATGCTCAAAAGTAAAGCACAGTTTGGATCAGCATTGGAATTTTAAAACCCAGAATACCATTTGCAACAGACAAAAGCACTATGTACATAATATTCTAACCATCAATGCCTCATTTATCAACAGATTTTTGTTGACCTTTCTAAGGTAATATACTAATAAAACCCATTAGGCAATTTAAAACCCAATACTTGGTTCTGGAAACACATTTCTACTAATTTTACCTACTTTGTAAGTTGTAATCATATCTGACTTAATATTTCTTTAAAACCTGTAGTTGTAACTTGGTAATGATTAAAATTGTATTATTTACTGCATGGTATATACATGAATGGCAAAATAAAAGACAATACAAAATATGTGAATCAACAAAGCAACTTTGCCAAGATTTGAAAAATTGAAATGTCAAGTTATATCTTAAATTTAACAGCCCCAATATAGAGTATAGACAGTTAACAAATTATTATGAAACACTTTCTCCTCAGCATAAGCTATATCATATATGAATATACCATTATCTACCACATTGTCAACAATACCCGTACAGTGAACAGTGTTGCTCATATAAACATTGTCCTAGCAACGATGACAGCTTACCGATAAGAGCTGCAAGGAAATGCTTTTAAATCTCTACAGAGCACTACTGGCACAAACACCTGGAACTCAGTAATGCAAACAAGTCTGGTTACCAAGGAGTAATACAGGGAATTTATGGGCCTTGGATTGCTGAAGGGATTGATTGATATTCAGCATACATATGCGTGTAGCTCTTAGTACTCAGTAGTTTGGTCCATTAAGAATCCTGTTTTTCCATATCAAACGAGTCTTGCAATAAGATAAAAAGATGGGTGTTGCCACGACTTGAGTGGAGAAGACGAAAGAACAAGATTGTGTTTGACAGTATGGGTCTACTTAGTAAAGCCATGTAGCAATTAATTTTCATGGATGACATCAGCACATATTGATTTTTGCCTTATTTTGTAAAAAAGTTGAGACACCATTGTTCATGTTTGATGGCAAATGCTGACAAAAAAAACTTGTAAGGTGCTTCATCATGTATGTATTAATTATTTTTCTACAATTGTTAATTGAGATACATGTATCATACACATCTACACGGACAGGTAATACTGTTAAATTTTTGTTTAGCAAGGTTTATGATCTAAAAGTTGAAAATGTAGGAATCTTGTTTTTTGGCCCACCTTGTTTTTTTTTTCTCACCTTATCGCATTAAATTTGGAGTAGGAGGAGGATGTCATCCATTACATTCACTTGCTGTGGCCTAAGTGATGAATCTGCTTATTCCATCTGCACTGTAGCTAGTGCATTTAAAATACATGCCATTGGTTCAGCTTGCCATGATGCTATAGTAATGATAAGTAGGGGCCTGGGACCATGAAACATATGGAAGGCCCTAACACTAACAGAGAAGAGCAAGGGGCCTGGCAGCTCCTGGCCTTGGTACTTAGGCAGTGACAGGCGGGAACTATACATGTGCGTCATATTGATAGGCCGGATATGTGACATTTCCCTGCAGATTGATATCATCAGCTCTCTGCACCAATCTACTCCGCTGCGCATTAACACTCCCACCTGTGGCCTTCGCTTTTTGTCGGATGCACCCCTGGGTTATGTCGTGCATGATATACTTCATCTGTTGCCGTGGCAACTCAGCTTAGATTCTCCGTGGTAACATGATCAGAGACTACACAGTGCAGCTAGCTGAATATTATGCAATGTAAAAGAACCCTCTACTGCTGCAAGCCAAAGAAGCCCAAGGCTGGATATACAAATGTCTAAGTATGTACGTACTAACCCATAGCAAATGTACAGTACTTTAGTATTTTTAAGGTTAGGTTGTAGCATATCTTGCTGGGGTTTGTCCATCATTTTGTCTTCATAATCTTAGTAATGAATAGCTAATGTATAATGCAACAAATACATGCAAAGAATAGGCAATATAATCATATACTAATACTTTCTATACAACATTCTAAGTATCGATCCAGGTAGTCTTATTCAAATTATTACCTATAGAAGCACAAGTATATTTGAACTCTTCTCTACTACTACTCTAATAGCTTATTGATAAGTATTCATGATTATTGTTTAAAGTAAAATAAAAACCGAAGGCACATTGGCTCAAGAGAAGATTTTAATAATTAACCCTGGCAACTACCAACCTTAACCTGAGCTTGTGATACCATATGTTCATAAAACGTAACAACTTCCACACTATACAACCTTAAACATGCATATCCTCTAATCTTGCAAAAAACATTTGAGTGTCCTTCTTGCATTGAACATACACATTGCATCTGCATAGAATAACTGCACCTAGTACCTGCAATATTGGTTTCAGTTGGGAAACTATGCACAAAGCTTACCTGCACACTTGAGGTACAAACAGCTCCGTCCTTCTTTAATGCCAGACTAAGCCGAGTAGTCACATTTACATTACTACGGGAAGGGTCATACCATTAAGGCTTGCATTTATGGGGGGGGGGGGGGG